TAAATTTGACACCCTTTACCATTGTTTGCGCTTTTTTGATTTTTTAATTGGTTAGATAAAGTGTGTTTTTTAAGAAATCTCTCCATATGTTCTAATGTTAACGCCTTTGTCCGTAAAAGTAAAGCCTTACCGTTTTGTGTAACATCATTTGCGAAACTTATGTTTTGCTAGACAAAAGTATGCTTGTATCCAGTCATCACACTCTCAATTGATTATTTATTATCAAACAATTGAATCGTTTTAAGTTGATACTTAAATCTTTTGATCATCTGGATTGGGTGGACCTACAAGTTGCCGAATTGATTTTGGATTCACTAGAAACCTTTCATCAAATGATCCTCGCTCATTGATCATCATCACTGCAGTTGATACATATGAATGCTCTTTCATTTGATCAGCAGAAGGTCTTGATTCATATTTGATCAATTGACGGACAAAATCAACAGCTAGTGGATCTTGGCATGATTGATATAATTTCTCATGCCAACTCAGTGAAGTATCGTTCTCGTCAAATACAATGATTACTTTGTTGTAATCGGGCATTTTAACTGCCCATTCAGTTGATGGCTGACCCAAGGATTTAACTACAACACAGAGTTGTTCAATATCGGATTCACCTTTAAATAACGGCCATTTTTGGTTCATTTCAGCAACAACACAACCAACAGACCATAAGTCAATAGACCAGTCATAATCATTTGATCCGTACAGCAACTCGGGCGGTCGATACCAACGAGTACAAACTTGATGAGACAATAAACCATTTGATTGTGGCGATACATCTATTGAGGATCTCAGTTTAGGATCATATTTATTTTGAGTCGTCGTCTGATTTTGGTTAAATGTTTGTCCCGGTAAAAGTCTGGCTTGACCAAAATCAGCCAATTTAAGGATTCCTTGCCAATCGATGAGAAGATTACTTGGTTTTAAATCACGATGAATTATTGAATTAGAGTGACAATAAGCTAGACCATCGAGAATCATATAAGTATAGATTGATCTTTGGATGTTAGTTAAATTGTATTCATAAATGAAAGTAGTCAAGTTAACTGGATATAAAGGAAATACCATATTAACAGACGAACCTTGTACAAAAACATCCAATAATGGAGTGACCTATTCTTAAAAATTTACGGTATATGTTAGTATTGTCAGCTATTTAAAATTGCAATGCAACTTACATTCATATGTTTGTTCAACAATTGTAATGATTTGATTTCCCGAATAACTGAAATCGAAAAAGATTTTTTCCTTATAAAAATTCTTTTGATAGCAAATAGTTTCTCATCGCGATCCTCGGTTGACCTCAAATCGGTCCCATAGTTAGGTGATCGAATTGCTTTGAGGACAATTCCATGTGCTCCAGCACTCACATTGCCAATAATTTTGTATTTATCCATTGACAATTTGTTTACACTGAAAAAAATAAATCCGGATAACGAAATGATAAACAAAATTTTGGTAGTCAATGGATACTTCGTTTTCATTTTATTTGTTGATCAGTTGAAACAAATGAATAAACATCTTCTTTGATAATAACCTAAATAACTCTAAACTGTTACAATATTTGTGGCTTTTTTATTCTTGAATTAAGAGTTTATTGATCTTAAGGGTGAATGTAAAGTTTCTTACTAATTTTAGAATGTCTCAACTTGTGGATTTAAATTATTTGGGTAAAATGGAGTTTAGATCAATACAATGTAATAGAGTAAATATCAAGTGAGAAAAATAAAAAGTTAATTTACATTGAATTCAATGGTGAAGCAAGTTAATTACCTGAGTTTGAGGCCTGTCAACAAGCTATTTAGCTGGTATTTTCAATTTTTTTCAAACACAAATCTTGATATTAACATCGACATTTACTTTACAGTACTTTGGTGGATTCATTGATAGTCAAAAACTTATCATAAATTGCTTTAGCCTCTTAAATATGCAAAGCTATCCACCTGACTATTCATCTCAATACCAAGCTTATGGAAGTGATTCTTCAATCATTAATTTTCAATCCAGTGTCTCAATTGATAATATTATAATCTTATTTTTGGCCAATTTAGTTTACACTTTTGCATAATTTCACTTTGCATGCTATTTTTAGTTATTTGTTGTATTTCTTATTGGCGATGATCGGAAACCATTTTCGTCCTGTAAAATGCAATTTGACTTTAGACTATGTTAAACATTCCTAATTAGTTTATGTTATTTTCAAATAGGATTTCAGAATTGACAATTCCTCTGTGATTCTCAACAGTTTTTCAAATGCAAACTTAACATGTAAACAATTTACAACCCAAAAGATACAATTACAGAATCACCTTTATTGTCTGTAATATTGAAATGGTCCCGTCCTATACTTCCCTAGTTCCCCCCGAAGTTCCCCCTTCTGTTACATGTATTGATACAAAATGATGCATCTCAAAGCATAATTTGACTGTTGTGGGTCATCCTTCTCTGTAAAAACGTACACAATAAAATTTGAACGATGATGTTTATGTTTCAAAAGATGCAATTATTCAAATAATACTAACTCAAGATGTTGTTAAACTGACAAAAGTAACAAGTTTAATTGGTGAAGCTTTGGTTAAATAATAATCGCAAATGAAAAATATGAAGTTTCTGGTCATATGAGACAATATCATGTAATCGTTTACCTTCAGATCAAGGATTAACTGATTAATTTGAGGTAAGTACTACTAACTGCTTTTGGATAAAATGCAATCCTCTGGACTCAGATAATTTCTGATAGATGTTTCTCATGCCATTTATCCATACACATTTATTCCATACACACATATATACATTTATTCCTATAATCACTGTAGTCCTGTTTCTTTGCTGTATTATTGAGACGTATTACATATACCTGGTAATATTTTCTAATAGTTATATCCTATTATTTCATCTTTGCTTTAACAGGTATGGGTAATTCCGGCTCCAACCTAATTCCAAATTCTTCTAATACAAATCAACCCACTTACCGTTACACACGAATTCATGGGGATTCACCATCTTCTTCACCTTTGGCTCACCAAGCCAACCCTGTTTCAAATGTCAACAACTCTGGTAGCAGTTGTTTCAATACTCTCCACAGGGAAAATAGAGATATTTGTAATACATTAGATAGAGGAAATCATCATAGACATCATTCTCATCATCATCATAAACATTCTGAACATCACTCAAGTCATTTACCTCAATCTGCTTCGGTTCCGTCTAATGCCTTGGTTATTTCTAATTCAGCATCTTGTGCGTCTTCATCTTCATCTTCATCTATCATGGGCTCTGCAATTTCCTGCTCCGATTCTAGACTTTCCAATGATTGTGGAAGTATTGTGGTGAAGAAAAGGAGAAATCTGACCACATTTGCTACATTGCGAAAAAAATTAGGATGCAAGGCTAGGAGAACATCTAAAAGCTTCGATCACGCTCAAGTGATTAAAGCTTTCATCTCAACATGGAGTAATAGAGATATTGCTCAACTTGTTCATGGATATGAAATCACTAATCTTCTCAAAGATTTGCACATTCAAGCTGAACTTGCACGTCCTTCAGCCTCGACAGTTGCTCAAGATTTGACTGATCTGTTTGATTGTAATTATGTTGCTGATGCTTATTTATTATTCAAAGGTCATACATTTCCTGTACATAAAGCCATCGTTTGCGTTCGCTGTCCACTTTTTAGAGAATTAATGGGTAAAATAAACGACTTTGGTACTCAAATTCCAGTTAATTTGGATGTCCCAGGACTTCGACCTGACTTTTTTATGGATCTGTTGAGATATCTTTACTCCGGTGAATTTTACACTTCATATTCATCTACGAACTCTCTGCCAATTTCGACTTATGATTCCATTCTGGTCAAATTAAGTGATCAAGCTCCCAATAGCTTAGAACATGATCTGAAACATCTTCTTGAAACAGGTCTTTATTCTGATGCTATATTAGTGTTTTCTTCTCCTAATATTCAATCAACTTCAATTGCCAACGAAGTTGGTTCCTCGAATACTCTAGGTTCGTCCTTTACTTCCTCTAGTTCAACTGGTAATAATAATAATCACCTTTATGGATATGCTAACTTTGGAACAGTGAAAAAGTGTAAAAATTGCTCTGAACAAACAGAATTTTCATGTCACTGTGCTATACTTGCTTCTAGATCAACTTTTTTCCGAAATGTGATATCCCGACATCAAAAGCGCTTCACAGATGCACTTACCGAAGCTGGTGCTACTTCAATCAATCTAGCCAACCAAAAAATTCGAATCGTTATCGATGAATCAATTATCCCTCGACGATTCGCTCGCATTCTTCTGAATTGTATTTATCGGGATTCAACTGACTTAATCAATCTTTTACCTGGCTGTGTTTGTCAATGTACTCAATCCAATGATCTCGGACAATCATCTCGTAAGTCTATCTTTAACACTGATTCATAAATCTATCACTTTATATTTATAAGAATTTATTAATTGCGAACTTTCTTTTTCACATTGTAGGACTCCACTCATCTAATCTGACATCGAAATCATCTGCATCTTATATCAAAGAGTTAATGGAGCTTTATGAAATTGGTCGATTTTTAGAACTAGACTCTTTAATTCAAGCATGCGAAGATTTGCTTGTTGATTCATTATCAGTTTATAATTTAATTTCGATTCTGAAATGGAGTGGACAGCCTCATGGATCTGATTGGGTTAAACGCCAAGCCCTTTGCTTTATTCGTGAAGAATTTTCTTTAATAATTTCTTCTCCAGTCCTTTGTCAATTGGAGATTGAACATTTAAAAGAAATCATTTCATCTGATTATTTACAAGCTAGTGAACTAGAAGTGCTACAAGCTGTGATCAAATGGGGCGAGGATAAGTTAATTAAAAGAATGGAAGAACGAGGTAGGTTTCAATATAAAATTGTTTACAATTTAAAAAAAATATTAATATTAATTTTTTTCTTTTATCTCACACTTTAATTTCAGAGCCAAATGTGATAAGTCAAACTGGACACAGTTTGCGCCATGGTCTTCGGAAGAAAGAGCTTAATGATGAAGAACTTCGAGATATAATCGCTGAATTGATGCCTTACGTTCGTATTGGTCATATATTGCCCTTGGATAGCGAAACTTTGACTAACGCAATCAAAAGAGGACTTATAAGTACACTGCCACCTTATATGTTAGAAGAGGATAGTATCGCTCCTCATCCTCGTGGTGTTCCGTGTTGGATTCACGAGAGAAGCCAAGGGTCTTTCATACGACCCCGATACTTCACTCCTTATGTTGAAGAAGCTCGAAACTACCTTGAATCACGACTTGCTCGGATAAACGATCCCAATGGAATCAATATGCGTGCCCCTTTGCCAAAAACGTCCAATTCTTCATCATCTACTCCTGTCCCTGATGCTCTGTATATGACTGCTTCTGGAGAAACTGAAGCTGCATCGATTTCTATCACAAATAACTTGGATCAATTCGCAACCTATTCTAATCCATCTAATTATCAAGAAATTTATTCACGTCTCAATCAATTACCTGTGATTGAAGAAAGAATTCTCCTGTTGATGAAACAACGTGTTGAAGAGCTTGATCGGTACCTATCAAGCTCTCGTAATTTGAGTATTATACCCAATAAAAGTTCAATAATTAATTATATCCAATTGAGAGTTGTCCGTGAATTTGGTCTTCCTGATGCTGCTGTTGAGGTTCTTGATTCTTCCATTGCTTCTTATGTATCTTACTCAACTTCTGATGCTTCAGCTTCCTCTACAACTTCAGGAAATATGGCCTCAACAGCTTATAACGAACTAAAAAAGACAAGTCTTCCTCCACTCCAACCGAATCAAAATTTTATCTATGAAGGTACTTCATGTGTTTTAGGGTCTGATAAGGATGTCTATGGTTATTCCCAAGATGTTACGTATGAAACCTCGTCAGATTATTACACACCTTTAAGTGAATCATATTTAAGCAATTACAGTTTAAATTCAGAGGTAAATAAATTTCGTACAATTTTTTTCCACCATTTCTATATGTCTCCTAATATATCGTATTCTTTTTATTTTAGCATCTTGTTTCATCAGTTAACCAGTTAAGTGATATTACTCCTGATATAGCGATGACAACGAATGCTTTTGCTGATCTCCATCTGATGCGAAAATCAACTGAATCTTTATCTCATCAGCCTAATATTCCTCCAAGGCGAACAAGGTCAAATCGAGATTGGAGATCGGAATCAAAATCATAAAGATTCTTTATTAAAGAAAGAAGATTGAAAAATGCGTGGATTGATATCTGAATTATAAGAACTCTCGGCCATGATAAATAGATCAACATCAATTTTCTTAGACTTGATGAATATCATTTGCCCGGACAAACCATTCATTTGAGCTTTTATTGGACTTCTTATTTGAAAGAGTTATTCCAGAAATAATCAGAGATTATGGCGTTCCAAGACTCAGCTTATCTCAGCTTCCATTTGCTTTCAATAAGAGTTGTTTCAAGGACTTCGAGCTGTCTCTTTGAATCAAAACATGGTAATCCTCTGGACATTTATTTTTACGGCTAATATTTTTTAGGCCTTAATATAGATGACTTAGTCTACTCTTGGACACCGAGGTGATAATTTCATGCTCAGATGCTGTCAACAAATATGGTATTTGATGAAGTCACAAATTAGTGTTACTTTTGTGATCGAATCGAGCGTAAATTACTCAAGTATCAGGTTGATTTTGTCTATGCTGCTACTCCCTCAAGCTACGTCATCAGTACTGAAAAGAAAGGCGCAAGAGGCTACTTTGTAATTTTTTTCGTGGTTGAGCACTGATCTCTCCACGTCTCGAGCCAAACCTAACATGACACTGTATCTAACTTTGCTATTTGCTTGGATACTAGATTTTAAAACTTTGTATCTGTATTAAATGATTAAAAGACGATCAAAGATGAACTATATTTCCTGAGATACCAAGTGATTGATTGAAATTTTGCAAAACCATTGAATCTTTCAGGATTATTTGAAAAATGGTCGAGGATAAATTAAACACCTTTCCATGACGAAATGAGATTTCCCAAGTTATATTTTATTATAAGATAAAATACACTTACGATAAAACCAGTTTTTGATAACAGAAATAAATATGAATGCAGAGAATCGTATTAATTAAAATCATAGTTACTTCTGGTTTCTAATCATATACAATGTAACTCTAATTTAATCTACAGAGTGTACTACAGAATCTAAAATTTTTCATAGTCCTCTCTTAACAAATTATTACCTCAAGCCTGATAATAAATTTGAATATCATAAAGATTGAATGAAAGAAAGAATGAAAAATTGAAGAGAATTTAGCGCATAATTTAGTCTCTACAAAATATAAATTCCAATTTATCTATTCCAATATATCCAATTTTTGTCAAAATTATACTTAAGTGGAAAGGGTTTAAGGAAAAAATTTAAACGGCATGATAAAAAACTTATAGCAACGAAAATAGGAAAGCCAATCTCAGGATTCAGATTTCCGAGAAATCCATGAAAATAGAGGCTGTGGGTTTTTTGGTTATTCAGGTTGATGGTTTATTGTTGGGTTAAGGCTATGTAAACTTTGTCATTCGGGTAAAGGAATCTGTGAAAAATTTATGCCTCAACTGTTCAGAAGGAGGTCGGAGTTTAAACTTCAAACTGATATAAACTCAAAAACCGTCGATTAGAGCATTTTTCAACGTAATTTTTTGGATCCATTAAATTTTGGTCAAAATTGTTTAAAAGAAAATCCAAAAGGAATGAAGGAATGATAAAAATCAATCAAAATGATGAAAAACGATAAACTCTGTTCCAAAATAATGGATCGTCAGGGTCAGAAAAACTTGCTTAGATAGCAAAATATCAAAAAGTCAAGAAAATCCAGTCAATATTTTATTATAATAAAAAGATAATAAGGATTGCACTGAGATTATCCTACCAAGAAAATTGCTAATACTCAAGTAAAGTACAGCTGACCTCGCAAATTTAATGTTTAAAAGTTTTCCTCATTAGGCTGATTCTCGGGCGATCATCGTGTTCAAGTAAAATCAGAATCACTTTTCAGAGCTTATTCTTGTGGCCTATTCAAGCTCATCCACTTTTATTCAAAGTATTCAAGTGATTTAATAACTGAAAGCTCTTCAAGTCGAATTGCTACTTTATCAGCTGTCTTGATGCAGATTGATGATATTTTATCAAGGATAATTAAGTTACAATGTTAAAATAGCTTCTGAGAGAGAGCTGATCTTCTCACTTGTTGCTAGTGTTTTGTTTTGTGTCTCTATAGTCAATAGTTTTTCCTGTTGCTCATTTTCCCTCATGTGTTAGTTTTTATTTGTTGACATTATGATTTTAGGTAGGAACACCAGCTTGTTCAGTCAGTGCCATGGTAAAGGGCTACTCAGCCTCAGACAGTTGAGTTCCTCCAGAGGAGAACCAAGTCAACCAATTCCTGGTCGCAAGCCTAAATATGTTGATGCCAAAGAAGCCTTGTCTGTGCTCAAATCAGGTATTTATCAATAATCCATATCAGATCAAGAAATATTGAGCAATGTAATCATGAGCATTTTTCAGTGTCCCACTTGAGATAATATTTAAATAACCAGTCAACTACAGGCCATCGGTAATAGGTTATTTAAAGTTAATTTTTGATGTTTTCATACAATGGTCTTAAAGACGTTTATGTTGAAACTTATGACTGGACTTCAGACTATTTCCAAGATGTGTTTCAAGATTTTTATCCCTCAATGTTATGATCTGATAAAATTCACTAATAGGTATGGTATAGGTAATTAATTTATACATTAATGATGAATAATTTAATTAACAATTTGATTAGGTGATTTGGTCGCTATGCAGGCTGTTGCTGGTGCCCCGAAAGCTTTAGCCAAAGCTATGCTAGAAGTTGGTGTTGCTAACAATCTTTCTGACATCAAGGTTTATCATCTGATGTCCTTAACCATTCCAGATTATTTGAAGCCAGAGTATTCCCATATATTCAGGGCTAGGGCTCCTTTTCTCAGCGGATTAGACAGAGATGCTGTCAATGCTGGTCGTGCGGACTATATACCAATGTTTCTTTCGGAAACCCATTTGTTATGGAAACGAGGTATCTTAAAGCCAAATATCACCATGCTTCAAGTAACTCCTCCTGATGAACACGGTTTTCACTCAATGGGACCATCGGTTACCAGTACTCGAGACGCAATCAAAGTATCTGACATAGTCATTGGTGAGGTAAATCCTCGTTTGCCACGAACCTTTGGTGATTCTGTGATTCATGAGTCTCAATTTGATTATTTGGTTAAAAATGAAAGTGAAGTAGATGCTCTCAACCCAAAGCCATTGACCGACGTCGAGAAAAAAATTGGTAAATATATTGCTGAAAACTTGATTGAAGATGGAGCTACTCTTCAAATGGGCATCGGTGGTATTCCGGACGCTGTTCTTGCCCTATGTAATAACCACAAAGATTTAGGAATTCATACTGAGATGTTTTCCGATGGAGTTATTCAACTTATAAATAATGGTAACATTACAAATCGGCTGAAAAACGTTGATAAAGGTTTTTTAGTTACCACATTCCTCCTCGGTTCAACTCGATTTTATGATTATTTCAACAATAATCCTTATTTAGGTGAGTTTATCGTTTTTCCCCAATATCTTATTTGAAAATGGATGTTGATTTTAATAATTTTTTGTTTATTTTAGTGATGAAAGAAGCTGCTTACACCAATGATCAACATGTAATTGCATCCAATCCTAAAGTAACTGCGATAAACTCGTGTATCGAGATTGATATTACTGGACAAGCTGCTTCTGATACACTTGGAGCTAAAATTTATTCAGGTTGGTGAATGATTTATATTTATTGTTTAGAAGATATTAATTCTTTATATTTTCAATGCTACAGGATTTGGAGGGCAAGTTGATTTCTTACGAGGAGCTGCTTTATCATACGATGGCAAAGGTAAACCAATTTTGGGCCTTTCCTCTACCACAAATAAAGGTGAATCAAAGATCGTCCCATTCCTTAAAAATGGAGCTGGAGTTACCTCAACAAGAGCTCATGTCCACTATGTAGTGACTGAATATGGAATCGCTAGTCTTTTTGGAAAAAACATCCGTCAACGTGCCTACGAATTAATTAAAATTGCTCATCCTGATCACCGAGAAAGTTTGGAAAAAGCAGCATTCGAGCGCCTTAAATGCATGCCTTCTAAAGATTAATCTTTCAGATCAATCCAATTTATCCGATTAATCGATTCTGGTGTATTTTTGTACAAGTATAATCATCAAATCTATATGTCAGAATTATGGTGTCAACTTTAGCAGTACATTTCTGAAATATAGATATTATATGCAAGTGTCATGCTAACCAAAGGAGAATTATTTTAGCTGGTGAAATCTTTAAGCCCAAGTGCAATGTATTAAAACAAGTTACTTAAAGATATTTTCAATATCAGGTAAATTTCATCGTCCAATGTTGCATTCAATTATAAAATGTTTCTTATGTGCAAATAAACTATTGTATTTTAAAGTCTGAAGATTATTTAAATATATCCTAAATAGCGGCTTTACTGATTTCCATCGCTTCTCAATGTATTTATGATTAAATTGAAATTGTATTTTGCATAAGAATTAGAATCCGAACCGAGTTGAGAATTTTACTTTGCTGGTCAGATAATTGTCGCCAGTGAATATCTTGATAAAGAGTCAGTTTAGCTTGTTTGGTTGCTGAATAATGTTATCAAAGTTGAAACAACAGAAGCTCTTGAGTTTGATGAAATAAAAATGAACACATAAGCATTGTAACGATGTTTTAATGGTTAATTAAGGTTAAATCACGATGTAAATTGATATATAAATAAAAAGTGTCAATCTAAATGTGCGATTGACTAACAAAACAAAATTGTATTATCAAAATAAATCACATTAACAAAATAAACAAAAATAAATTGAAAAAGAGTGGAATGTAATGTTTTACAAAAAAAGACATTACAATTTACCCAATATGTGTTGATACTTAACTTGTGACTTAAGATAATTAGTTTAAACAGTTTAACTTAATCATGGGAAACGCTCATCATTTCAATAAGTAACCTTCAATAATTAACGAAAAATGGAAAACAACAAATTACCTTCTAACAATTAATCTAATAACACAACACGCACTCTTCTCCATCTTTGTAGCTACATTGAGATTATCATGCATTTGAATATGTTTATCAACTACTATTAACATGTGAATCAGTTAAATGAGGTAGTAGTTTCATTTTGGTCTTTGTAATTTAAATAAGATTCAACAGCTCAATTAGTTGAGTAATATGAATGACAGGAAAAATTGTCCAGTTTTGCTCATATTGGCGATGATGGTCGATGGTGATGAATATGAAAACCAGAAGACAAAAACAGTGATAAGTTTAAGGGAATCGACGACTAGAATGTTTAGATTCAGTTGATTATGAATTTAACGGATTTGTTGATGTTTAGCTTAATGATTATCCAATAGAAAGCCGATCATTTGATTGACGATTGATTGTGACTGTGGCTTGAGATGATAATCATGATCATCTAAATATTTCTTTGACGATATCAACATAGGTTTGACCTGGTTTAACCATACAATTATATTCAACATGGTTTAATGGACTACCCCAGACCAGATGATCAGTCTCTTCGGGACGATAAAATTTAACTTGCAGTGGCAGTACCAGGGTAAGACCATCTTGGAATTGGAATAGTAACTGAACATTGGTTCGATCCTTTTTCTTGCTTGGATTAATCTTGGTTGAACTCCAGGAAAAGGTATATTTTGATCCGTCAGTTTCTTGTTGAGATAAATCAGTGACAGAAACACCAATACCACAAACGCTAACGCTCCTGTTTCATTGTTAGTCAGGGCAAAAACAATAGGAAATAAAGGTTAATTTAAAACATTAGCAACATTTACAATTTAGCACTTGGAACGTTATTAGCTACCAAATTAATGGTTTACTCAGGACAGGCAAGATGTAATTACGTGACATTTAATCTGCGTGATAACCTTAATTAAATATCTAAGGATGATTTAGCCTTGCTATGTTAATCAAATGTACATTTACTCTTGTTGTTTGCTGCACATAAACTTACATCTCATTATAATGAATCAAATACTCAGGTTATGTGAATATTTCAATATTTTATTTTCAACTGACTATAAAAATCGATATTAAATGTATATTTCCGTCTCTCTTGCATTTATTTATAACATTTTTACCTTCCCAAAGGTTCATATATTTCAACTGATTGTTGAACCAATAACTCATACATCATATGAAATCTGGTTAACTACTCCCAATGTTCAATACCCACATTATTCCCTGTTAAAGACTGTTTCTGTTCACTATGATAAATAACCAATCTAACAATGTAAATATTCAAATATGAATGTAAAGATTTAGTTAATTTGAATTGGATTTACTTACTGTAATGGCAGTGAAGGTTTGATTGTTATTGTAAAATGATAACTTGCCTCAACCAGCAATTTAATTGTATGCTCACAATCAAAACGTTTCCCATCTCGCTGTACAATGTAAAAAAGGTAAACAAAGCAACATGAAGCAAGATTTTAAAATACAATCAATGGTCAACTTGATGTAACAAATGCAATATTTGAAAATTTAAAAGCAGTTAACTGTTTAAGGAAACTGGTTAACTGGTTAATTTAAAATTGAAGATTACTTACCTTAAAGTAGATATCATTGTCATTGGCGCTTCTAATTGTGAGCGTTATTTTGAAATTGTTGCGACTTTCGCCCATTTCTCATAATTAATAGAAACACTTTTATATCAATTTAACTGGCTTCAATTAACGATGATGATTGTTGTAATTGTCAGACAACCAAGTGATGCAATTAGAGTAAGTGTTGTTGGTTCATTTTGATATGATTTTGATGTAACCTGGAGGAGATGAAAATAATAACATGGACTTCAAGTCAATGGATAAGGCAATAGACTGTGATCTGCAATGTAAAGCAAATTGTTTATTAAAAGAGGAACATCTAAATTAACAGTTTCATATTGGGTGATAAGATAGGCGACATGAAAATATTGGAATGACAATTTTATAAGGAATGAAAAAGAAAAGTGAATAAAATGAATCTGAGCAGTTAAATTAAGCTTCGAATGAACTGAGCATTTCAAAGTCACGAAAGAATTGACCAAAATCTCTCTTTTGAACAAGTATCTTTCACTTTCTGGTTTCCCTTTTCTGGTTTCCTAGTTTGCTATATTGCAATGATATCTGGTTAATAGTGAAAACAAATAACATTCAAAATTAGATCCACGGCCATTTCAATTAAAATGCTTTCAAGAGGCAATAAATCAAAGACAAATCACAATCATTTAGGGTTGCCTTGTTTTTGGTTTGGTTTATTGATTAAAATCAATCAAAATCGTTCAATTATTTACCACGATTCGCATTTTAAGTACATATTCATTGTTGTACGTTTAATGATGATTGGTCTCAAAAAGTAAAGATTGATTACAACGTTTCTGCAATTTTCCTAGATTTTATGAAATCCTCATGTTGCTAGATTGACGACTCAATACTTCATGAAGATGGCCTCGTAACAATTCCAACCATTACTTAGGTATCTGTAGGGTTCTGATTCTTATTCACCAAAACTCCTCCAACATCTCGGATAGAACCATCTAACTTTATGAAGATTTAACTACAATGTAAATGAATTAACACAATTTTGATTTAAACGCAAAGCCATTCGAAGTGATTATTTATTTACTTTTTATTTTGAGCGCTCGCCCTAAATTGGATAAATTAAATTTCTCAATAGTCCAAATTAAATTGATATTCAAAAGCTGAAAGCATTCATTTGGTGAAAAGATAAAGATATTGAACTTCAACCTTTTATCAGCTTTAACGGTATAAGGTCTCTTTGCCAGTAACTTTAGTGCTCTTTCCTAGCGTCAAAATATATTGAATTTGACTAGCATTAAACTATACTAGTAGTTAGGGTTAAGTTAAAGTCAGAGATTTTTTTGAGAGTCGTTCTCAATGAGTACCAATAAAGTCGAACTTTATTTTGTGTATTTCTTGTTTGCTTTACTGGATTTAGGACATTGATACCCAAGACGGTAAATACTTTAACCGGTTTTCATTGATGTAACTGTTACTGTAGTTACAGTGTAACATTTTCATTTAATAGATATGTATCCATTCCAAGATTCAATCCCATTAGCTTACAAACAAACCAACACCCAGCAGCTGTCAATAGATTTATATTGTAAATTTGATTTTATTGCCAAACGAAAATTACTTTCCAAAGTTTAATTGCCAATTTTGATCATTTATGTTAAAGTGCTTTAAATTTAATCCAATGTTTAAAATACCTTTAAATTCTGAGTGTGTTATTTAAGTTTAATTTTCTTCTTGTTCCAAGATCTATGTTGTAGTTATTTCATTATGAAGATTTGCTTCGTTTGGTTACTAATTGTCACTTTTCATCTCTGGTTATCTACAATTTTGTGCCAACAAGAGCCAACAATATCATTTATTAGTAAAGAAAAAATTGTCGATTTAGGTGAAACAGTTGAACTTATTTGTGACACAGTTTTTACTAGCGGATATGCTGTTCAATGGATTAAATTGGATAACCCACCTTCAATCCTTTCATCTGGATCTACCATACAATTTCCAGATAATCGTATTGGAATTAGTGTTGAAAAAGATCGCTTCAAATTGAAGATCAGAGATGTTAGAGAAGTAGATAATGGCGAATATATGTGTCAAATAACAAGTTCATCGTCGGTTCCCATCGCGAAAGCATCAGTTAACCTGACTGTTCGTATTCCTCCAGTCATCAGCGATGATAGCACTCGACATGTAATTACATCTGTTGGTACTCCTGTTGTAAAACTAAAGTGTTCCGCTGATGGTCATCCTAAACCTAGAATCTCATGGCGTCGTGATGGTAATAAAGAGTTAACAGGTTATGGAGCCCATTTTATTGGATCTGAATTGACTTTAACCAACATCACGATCAACCATCAAGGAACTTATTACTGCATTGCTGACAATGGTGTTGCTCGAGGTGATCGTAGAGCCATATCAATTGAAGTTGAATTTCCTCCGCTCATTACTGTACCAAAAGAAAGAGTCAGTCAAGCTCTGAAGCATAATCAATTGCTTGTTTGTAAAGTTCGAGCCTTCCCATTGGCATCAATTTCTTGGTACAAAGAAGGCGACAATTACCAAGAAGCACTTTCAAACAACAGAAATTATAACATATCAATTTTTCAAACAAACAATGAATTTGAATTCACAACTATTTTGCGAGTTCAAAACATTGAAAAGAGGAATTATGATCGTTATTATTGTCAAGCTTCTAATAAACTTGGAACGAGCAAAGGAATCATTGAATTGGAGGAAACACAGAACGTTATCTGTCCACCTGATTGTTCATCTCAATACCAAGCTTATGGAAGTGACTCTTCAATCCTTAAATTTCAACCAAGTGCCTTAATTTATAATATTATCATCTTAATTTTTGCCAATTTATTTTGTACTTTTGCATAATTTCACTTTGCATGTTATTTTTGCATTTATCATTGACGAATGATCTGAAACAATTTCCGTCCAATCATGAAACATTCAATTTGACATTCCTCATTATGTTATTGTCGAATAGGATTTCAGAATTAACAGTTCCTCTGTAATTCCGAACAACTTTTTAAACCCAAACTTATTATTCTATTATTGAAGAATGATCTGAAACAATTTCCGTCCAATCATGTAACATTCAATTTGATTCAACAGTATTTCAAATCATTCCTCATCCAAATCATGTCAAATCACACAACTCACATAGCCTTTTGCTAGCCATTCCATTTCACTGCTCAATAAAAACACTAAATTACTGAGCAATAACAATAATTCTCACTTTTGATTGTCAATTTACAGCTATCAAATTTGATCACAACGAAATAAAGTTAAATGTCAAATGGTAATAAAAAATTGAATTTCCTCTTGAAATATTACATTTACACCTTTTTCCGATTAATAGTGTTTAAGACTGAATGTCTGAAAATTTCGGATAAATAGGCGCTTTCGGATACTTCAAACCATTCGCTAAATGGGGAAAATCGTTTAGCAATTTTCCATTCCTGAAGTCACAGCTGGACCTTGAAAAAAACTGTTGGTTTGAGGTTTCATTTCCATCCCTCATTTTTTGGATATTAGTGGATATTTTTGTTAAAATAATTATGACGAGTATAGATAATACGAATCAGGTTGGAAATAATTAACGAGATTAATTGGTTGGAAGACTGTTAGACTTTGATTATACTGTAGCAGTTTAAAGGATGTTTTAGCACAACAACAAAAAACGCAAGCTTTGCGCAAATGCAGTTATTGTTTTGTTTTTTTCTTTGCTAACAAAGATTTATTTAGACTTGAATTGTTTATTAAAAAATATCTTGTAGTTGTGATTGTTGATGGTAATTGGTATGGTTCCATGGTAAAATCCCTTCATCTTGTATTGGTCTTTTATTTCGTGTTTAATTAACAAGCTGTCTTCATCTGATTTGGTTGATTAGTTAATGTTGTTGACCTGAATATATTTTGGTTTTGGGTTTTCCCCTCTCTCTTTCTCTCTTTCGCTTTATCCTGTTTCTTGTTTATAATAACAAATCTGCAGGCTCTTTCTTTGTTTGAAACAAACTCTTTTTTTGCTTCATATTCAGAAGCTTTTTTATTTTCTTAGGTTTATTTTCATTTACCAGTTTTTACGATCTCCCTGTGTCCATCTGCTAAACCAATCTCTATTTATCCGTGCGAGGTTGACTGTACAACAACAGAATTGAATCTCTTATCCAGCCAATCAGTATCTTAATAACCATTTCTGCATAATCACTGGTGTTATTGGTACTAAAAGAGTGCTGATTTTTTTATGTGATATTTCAACATGGGCAATTGCCTTAAATCATCATCATCCATAGATGATCTTGCTTTATTACGGGAAGCTTCTGGGTCTGGACGTTTAGAGTCAAACGCATCTGAACAATTAGGACCACCACCATCATATCAAGAAACAATGCAAGTTCATCACCAATTGACACCAAGTAGCCATCTATCAACCATCCACAATCAACATGCCCATTCACAATCTATGTCTTTACCTGTTTTCTATCCATCACCAGATGTTAGTCGACCTGTATCTAAATTATCCGAAGAAGAGCAGATTAAAATTGCTCAACGGATAGGCTTAATTCAACATTTACCTACAGGACTTTATGATGGAAGTAAAAAGAACCGAGAGTAAGTGTCCTTTTCTATCTTACATCTATTGTTATGTTCCAATTCACATTTTCTCAGGCCTTGAGCTAATCCGCCATTAATCTTTTTGTTCTTTACCTCACCAATATACTCTTTAATTAGATTAGTGATTTTGATTAGAAGCCACTTTATAACAATAATTATGTCTATCTAAATCGAGTATTTGTTTCTTTCTCTACGGGTAACAAAAAGTCGATTTTCCCATTCATTGATTTGACTGTAATACTTGTCAATTATCATCTCACTAATCAATTATAGTACAATCAAGACTAAATTGCCTCATAACCTTGTCCATCAATCGATATTTTTTATCAAATATTTGTATAATAATATGTAGCTTTATTAATTGCTTCTTTTCTCTTTTTTCTATAGGTGTGCAATATGTATGTGCGAGTTTGTGATCAATGATTCGATACGATTTCTTCCTTGTATGCATATTTACCATTCAAAGTGTATAGATGATTGGCTGATGCGATCATTTACTTGCCCATCTTGTATGGAACCAGTCGATGCAGCTTTATTGTCAACTTACCAAACAGAATGAAAGTCAAACAAAAAATATATTCGGAAAGACAATGGATTAGATTGTGTTATGGTCTCTGTCTGGATTCTTTATCTTCCTGATTCAATCAAAATCTCATTTGTTCTGTGACGAGGGTCTAGGCAAAGTAGACTGTATATAACAAGAAATGAAGGTTGACGATGACACTGAAAGAATTGTATTTTATTGGAAATGACATTAGAGTTGAAGAGACATTGTACAAACAAACAACAGAGATTATTCAATCTTAAATTATCTTGGATTGAACACTTATCATCTAACTGAATACATGCATTGGTGGTCATTGATCATAATCAATACTTTTATTACAAGCGTCTTAAAGTCCTACTGTGTCTTAATGATGGAACAGTTGTCAGATTTGATTGATCTGTTCTATCTTCTGAGATTGCCACATACTTACACTTAATACAGCCCAAAAAATGATGACTGGATTGATTCTATTCTATTAACGATGACAGCAATACGAAAAGCACTGTGTCATAATAATCAACCTCACAAACAAAAGCAACTGAAGACCGATTACCTGCAATTGGCAAATATTCAAAATTCATCGTAACATTTCTTTTCTAAAATTGTTTAACTAAAAGTAAATATACTTCTGAAGAAGTCCCGTGTGTAAATATATATATAAATATATGTATCGCAACTGTAAAACAATTGGAACCGAATAGTGAGAAAGTTTTTGAGAAAAAAAAGATGTAAAAATCCAGAAGAAAAGATTTAATCCAGAAAATGTAAGCTTAAAAGCAACCCAACTGATAATATCAAGATTGCCTGATCTAAAAAATGATGTGCCCTAAGCTGAGAGCCGAGAATTCGATTCTTTTTGGTATGAATGATTCTATCTAGGATTTCTTCGCAAACACTTGGAAACCTTTCAGCAATGTGAAATACATCTTTTGGACTACAGACATCAATGGAGTGAATAAAGATTGTAATACATCTCTCAACTGAAATATTTGTTAATCGACTCCCCTTTATCCAACCCTTTCACTTTTTCATCTCACAGACACAAACATTTTTGTTTTTACCTTACCTTTCTTATCGTTCTTTGTTTTTTTTTCTTATCCTTCATTTTCTTCCTTTCATTTTCTTTTCTCATCCAGCATTCTCATGCCCTTTACCATTTTGCAACAATTTATTACAGCTCGATTGGAAGCTACAATAAGCTATTAAAGAGTATCCCTCATCATTTTTCTTTATCTCAAATATACTTTTGTGTTTTTGTATTCTGCTAACAGGCTTGGAGTCCAACTCGAGTGATATATTCCCTCAAAACTTAGCTTTGAAATAATTATTTTCTTCCCTTCCCTTTAACATTTCAATTTTCATTTGCTAAATTGGTTGTAAAATATTAACAAACCCAAGTCATCATATTTGACCAAAGATATTTTACCAAATCTCCCCATCACTGAATAAATTTATCAAGCTTCTGCAAATCACTTTAATTTACTCGGTACTTTTAACTATTCAATGTATAATCAATCTATCCCTGTCATTGAAGCGTCTTTGGCACTCTTTGGCTTCCAACTTGTTACATGAATACGATAAAATGGCTTAATAAATTTCATTCATTTAACGATTTGTCTTAAACTTTCTAGTTCATAGACCAGCCGTTTCTTTTTGTTTAATACCTTCACAATTGTATTGTTAATTTGTTATAAACTAATTTTTTCTAAAACTTCTGCTCTTAATCTTCAATTTTAATTCTTTAAATTGGCTGTAAAATATTAACAAACCCAAGTCATTCATATTTGACCAAAGATATTTTACCAAATCTCTGCATCACTTAATAAAATCAAGCTTGTGCAAATACCTTTAATTTACTCGTCACTTTAAACTATTCAATGTATAATCAATCTCGACATGGTAGCAATCCTATTTTGTGTTTCTAACAGAATCCATTGTTTCCATATTTAATACATCTCTATCCCTGTCATTGATAAAATGGCTTAATAAACTTTATTTATTTCACGATTTGCCTTCTAATTTGGACTCTATTCATTCTGGAAATAAAGAGTGTTAAGTATATTTCAGATGCACGTGCGTGAGTCTAGGTAAATAACAGACTCAATTGTGTCCGTTGATTGGTCTAAAGGCCAATATGGTGGACAGAAAGTTTATACCAGAAACAAAGGTTTAAACAGCTTATCACCATCAGCCATTGGCAAAGATGAGGTCTAACGACCAATAGAAAATCCTAAATCAGAATGACCTGAGGGGTAAAGATTCAACGGAAATTTTTGCTGCCAGATATAGTTCATGGGCTTAAGAGTTAGATTCGTCAGTTGAAATGAATTAAGTAGTTTTCAAAATAATGTTGATTATAATATCCATTGACTAATCCGCATCTTGATAAAACTTAGACACTTTGCAATTTTTAAACCAGTCCCTTCTTTTCTCTCTCTCTCTCTCTGTCTTTTCATAGCTGTCGATCTGAGCCGTTCATAGACGAACCGTTTGTTTTTCCCTTTTGTTTGATAACTTCACAATTGTATTGTTTATTTGTTATAAACTAATTTTTTGACTTTCAGTATATTAATTTGATCTTTTAACCGCACAATGTCTACCGAGGAAGATGTTTTAACCAGTGATGAACATGGTAATCGTGAAACCCGGCGCAACCTTAATATGGTTAATACCCCTGGCTCTGCTAGCGGTACAAGTGCATCTAACATTAATAACACTTTAAACGCGAGTAATATTGGATGTTCTGGACTAAATTCTAACAGTGATCAGAATTCTGCTCGTGAAGCTGCTGACAATGACAGTGACAGTGGTGAAGATCCGACTGGATTAGAAGGAGCTGCTTTCCAATCCAGATTGCCTTTTGATAAAATGACTGCCCAGGAAGCCCAAGCATTTTCAGAAATTAATAATGGTCCCACACAGGGTGTAAAAATATTTCTCCACATTCGAAACAGGATCCTTCAATTGTGGTTAGAAAATCCTAAACAAGAGTTGACTTTCGATGCCGCTCTCTCGCAATTGGATCCTCCTTACGATTCTGATGGTCCTTTAGGTAAGTGTAATATTTTAAAAAATCAACGGTCTATAAAGTTAAAAAAAGCTTCTGTTTAAAATTTAAATTCACCAATAATTAGTTTATGACCATGTTCTTTGTTTTTAACTGTTTTTCTTTTTCTTTCTTCTTCTTCTTTAAGTTATGAGGATTCATGCCTTCTTGGACAGACATGGTTATATTAACTTTGGAATTTTCAAAAAACTCCGTCCCCCTCCTAGCCATAATGTTGGAAAAGTGATTATCATTGGAGCAGGTATTTCAGGCCTGGCTGCAGCCCAACAACTTACTCGTTTTGGCATGGAAGTTGTCGTTTTAGAAGCAAGGGATCGAGTCGGTGGAAGAGTTGTAACATTCCGTAAAAATAATTTTATCGCCGACTTAGGCTGTGTCGTGGTTAACGGTTTAGGTGGTAATCCTATGGCTGTAATTGCCAAACAAATCAATATGCAACTAAACAAAATCAAACAAAAGTGCCCGCTTTACGAATCGAATGGCGCTACAGTGCCAAAAGAGAAAGACGAAATGGTTGAAAGGGAATTCAACCGACTATTAGAAGCTACAAGTTATCTTTCACATACACTCGATCTCAATCAAGTTAAAGGTTGCCCCATTTCACTTGGCCAAGCCCTAGAATGGGTTATTCAGCTTCAGGAAAAGAGTGTTAAGGAGAAGCAGATAGAACATCTCAAGTTGATTGTCGAGCTCCACGATAAACTGAAAGCAAATCAACTTCAGATGATGGCGCTTATGGATAAAGTTGAGCAGTTACATAAGGAACATAAAGAATTATCAGATAACAGAAATCGAGATATTACACAAGAATTTTATTTTAGAGAAATCTCGAGAGATACTCGATCTATTTATAAAGAGCTGGACTTACTTTTAGAGCAAGAAAAAGAGATCGAGTATCAAATTAGAGATTTAGAAAGCAATTATCCAAGTGATGTCTACCTTTCATCTCGAGACCGTCAAATATTGGATTGGCATTTCGCTAATTTAGAATTCGCTAATAACACTCATCTTAATAACTTATCATTAAAACATTGGGACCAACATGATGACTATGAGTTTTCCGGCAGTCATTTGACTGTTGGTAACGGATTTTCATGTGTCCCAATGGCAATGTGTGATGATCTACCTCCAAATTGTATCATTACTAATCGAGCAGTTAAACATATACGTGTAGACAAAATAGGAGTTGAAGTCCTTGCATATGACCCGAAACGTCTTTACGCCTCACAATCAGGCTCGACTCCGCAGCCATGTCTTTTTTCATATACGGCTGATGCAGTATTGTGTACGTTACCTCTTGGTGTTCTTAAACAGTCTGTTGGTCAGAACAGTGGAAGTCCATCATTAATGTCCAACAGTATACAATTCATTCCACCTTTACCTGATTGGAAAGTTCAAGCAATACAACGCTTAGGTTATGGTAATTTGAACAAAGTTGTCCTTTGTTTTGATAGAGCTTTTTGGGACCAGGACAGTAACTTATTTGGTCATATTGGAAGCACCACCGCTTCAAGAGGAGAACTATTTACATTTTGGAGTCTGTATAAATCGCCCGTTTTAATGGCTTTAGTTGCTGGTGAAGCTGCCAATATTATGGAGAATGTTACCGATGATGTTATTGTTGGTCGATGTTTGACCGTTTTAAAAACCATTTTTGGTAGTGCAATTGTTCCTCAGCCCAAAGAAACCGTAGTTACACGGTGGAAGACTGACCCTTGGACAAAAGGCTCTGGTTCTTATGTTTCTGTTGACTCTTCTATTTATGACTATCACGTCTTAGCGGCACCCGTAGTTTTTCCAAGCGAAGTAACATCCGATTCAAATGAGCAAATCGTCAAACAAAACGTTGCTAGACTATTTTTCGCCGGTGAACACACAAGTCATAACTATCCAGCATCCATTCACGGTGCTTTACTCACCGGGTTCAGGGAAGCTGCTCGTATAGCGGACCAGTTTCTTGGTGCACCTTACATTGCTTAAAACCATTCGGATCATTATCATTGTTTTCTCCCCCTCTTCCCAAAAACCTATTTTTCCTCCTTCCCTCAAAATTTACATTCATTCCGTCTTTTTATAATCAAAAAACAATTGTAACAGTTCTCGTTTGAACAACAAGTGCCTTTCATGATCTCAAAAGTCGAACCAAAGATTATCCTAATCACATTCAAAAAATTATTAACTTGGACTACTAAAGTTTAAAGAATCTATTGTATTTGTATTATTTTTTTCTTCGAACCAAAGTAAACTGATCAAACTGGAACCATTTTTATTGAGTTGAATAATGCGAAAACTTCCAACTAAATAAATCACTTTCACTTCTCAAGCAAATTTAAATTTACCCTTAAAATTAGCAAAATTTTGGAGTAAATATAAACCCAGTAAATGTATAAGTTGCCATCATGTACATAAAGCTAAACAAAACGAAGCAAATATCAATAAATTGCCAAATTGGACCTCAAGAAAATAGCGATAATTTATTTCCATAACCAAAAAGCTCAAGATTGAGCAAAATTGATTGTTAACTGCAAAACTGTAAGTTAAAGATTCGACTCAATCCTGATGAAAAACTACTGAAGATAAAGATGCGCATTCAAACTTTCCCCTGTATTCCAATGGGAGAAAAAAGGAGTAACTCTTTTCTCTCTGATTTACGAATGAAATTTACAGTTGATTCCCGATTTATATAGTGGTTACCATCAGCATCCTCATGTTCATAATTTTACTGTGAATCGCCAAAGGAATCCTAAAAAGAAGCTTTAACTTTTATTCTTGTTTTGTTTTACTTTTTTTTTCTATCTCTTTTACCTTTTTTCAATTCTTGTTAAAATCCAATTTCCAATCGACAGATAAACTAAATAGCAATAAGGAATATTGACTTTTTGCCTTACGGCAACATTATTATATTCATTTCTTGTTATTACAATTTCAATTTTTCCCCTTAAATCAACCCAAATCCAAAACTGACAAAAGCCAACTTTGTACCGAAGTGAATAAAACAAAGAAAAATGAAATAAGATATAAAAGTCTATACAACTTTTAACATCAACTTTTCCTAACCCAAGGTAACAAAACAGACGATGAAGATCACAATTTTTTCACCAACTTTTCCCTTCTATTCCTTAATTTAATTTGATTTACAAAAGTTTCACCTTTTCTCATCCAATGGACATCAAGTTATACTCTAACACTTTTTGTTACCTTTTAACCATTAGGTTATGATTAACTCGATAAGTTACAAAATTATATTTCATTTTCATTTTAAAGTCACCCTTTCAATTGCTCATATTTACAGTGTCAATTGAGTTCAATATTTATCTGAGCAAATATCAACCTTTCACCACCTTTACTCATAGCTTATTGATTTACATCTAAACATTTATTTTTTCCTTCTATTTCAGTGATTAACCTCGGAAATATCATCAACATTATCTGCTTTACCATCAACAGGAATATTGAAAACATTTATTGTTAAAAAAACACCAATTTTTGGGTTTCTGCTTTTGTTTTGTTTTTCCGTTTACTGGATAAGGAGTGAAATCAGTTTTACAAGTTATCTTGTTTTTGTTTTAACCTGGTAATAAAGTCTTACAAAGATAATTTGATTCTTGTGAGCAATTTACATGATCACAATTAACATAATTGGTGAAGGAAAAAAATGTAACACTCATAAAAGAAGCCAAGTGTAATCAAGTTGATTAAATTTTGTTCCTTCAATTTATCCATCATTTTCTGGTTTTGTTTTACTGGTTCAAATTTGCAACATTAATCAAGAAAGGATACCAAAGAAAAGAGAACTCAATTTTCAATTTTGAAAATACAACAAAATACGATTCCCAGGTTTCTTGAGTGAAGTTTATGTTTTGCTGTCTTCAAAGGCAAGGTTGTTTTGAACCCGATGAAATGGATGCCTCTGGTTTTGGCCCACCAATACCAACAATATTGACTTTTGGAGGTCAAAGAGACGTTAACCTTACCCCTCAACAATCATTAACAAATATACCTCAATCACAACAATTACCTCAACACACCCAACAATCTCAACACCATCAACACCAGCAGCAGCATCAACATCATCATCAACAACAACAGCAACACCAACAATCTCAACCTCACCATCAGCCGCAACCTCTACCTCCACCTCCGGTCCCTGTTTCAGCCACTAGTGGAGGTACTTATGGTAACTCATATGGTGGTGGACCGGTGAGTCAATCAAATGCTAATAACATCAACACCAATAAAGAACCTTATTCAGTTATTAATCCCAAAATATTAACTGGATCCATTCATCGACCCTCTTATCCTCATATTGAAACTGCTCACGGTGGCTGGCCCATTGGCTTTGAAAGTGCCATTTCTGGTAAGTCTAACCTGATGAGTAACCAGATTTAAAAATAACCCATTTTTAAACCCATTTTAATACACTTCACTAACCAATATTGATGAACAATGAAGCATTGTTTTGTACCAAAAATAATCAACCAAAATTACTTCAACTTTTACTTTGGACAAATTAATAACCAATTTATATTAAATGGTCATTTTGCCAATTGAGTTATCAGTTTATGAAAAGTGTTGAGAAAAATGAAAATGAAGGAAAATGGTTAACCAATTTTTCCACTGATTTTCAATGTGTAATTCATTTTGTGGCTTGATAATCACTTAACCACTTGAAATAATGATTCCAGTGGTTTCAATTGAGCTCACCTTTAATCTGATTGAATAGGTTGGAAGAAAAGGTAAAAGGTAAAATAAGTTAATGATTGCCATCAACACGAGCTATAAATACAACACAGCTTTATACATTTATATTTATAAATTAATATTATTGCTATCAATCTATTTGATTTTCTCACTCCATCACAAACTTGCCAGTTAACTTGGTGCTATTGAAGATTACATCAGGGAGTTTGTAGTTTCTTTTCAAACAATTTCCTGGTTACCTTGTCTATTGATGATAGAGCTAAAAAAATATTAAGGTAACAACAAAATAAAAAGAGAACCCAAAAGAAGACGAAGAAAAAAAGAAAGGATAATCTTATTGAGAATAGTAGAGTTGAACTAAAATGATTACCAAAGATAATATATATTACAGTTAACTTGTTATCCTCTATGGTGGAATTGCATTGAGAAATGAAAAGATCACACAAAGAGGTAACACTCAAGTGATTCTTGAAATGATGATGATGATGAAGAAAAACTTACTGCGGGTAAACTCAATTGTAAGTCTATTATATATAGTATTTTGATGAACAATTTCAACCATTTACCCTTCATTTGATTCTATCTACGGATTCCGTAGGTTAACAGAGGTATAATCTTCATTTTTTTCTGCCCGTAGAAGCAACATCATTGAAGTAACAAACAATTGTATCACAAACAAAAAGATGAAAATGAAAAAAAAACAGTAAAAGTTAAATGGCAACATTTCAACTGGTAAACCTCAGTCAAGATTAAGTCTAAGCCCTTAATATGAAACATTCAACCAGACAAGCTTATCCTTTGACCAACACTGTAATCACAACGAATCATTTAGATTGATCTTTATGTAACACTTTAATTGAAATCCTTTGGAAACTTAACTCCAAACATTTCTGATTTAATGTGATTCTTTAGTCTAATAGCTTATTATCCAGATTTTAAAAATGCTAAAATACTATTTTCTGTATATCAAAGAGGGTTCAATTTCATGGACAGTTTTCTCGGACTTACTCAAAAGTTAACTGATCGATTCGACCTAAATGCTGACATTGGATTGTGATTGAAAAACTGTTAAGATCTGTTGAAATCTAATAACGATTAAGATCATTGATTAAGTGGATTCAATCTTGATTTGCATTTTAAAGGCGACTTAAAATTTAGATAATCTTGAGATGCTTTTGACTGATTTGATTTTATTGTAATAAACATTGTGAACATTGTTAATCACCGATTTTTTCATTATTTGATCAAAGTTATAACAGAGTTCGCGAGTGGAATCAGAGTTCTCATGTTTTTTTTCATTTTAATTTATCATCTTTAAAAGTTAAAATTTGGATACTTTTGCATAAAATTGTTTTCAATAGCCGAGTTTTAAATAATTTAAATTGTTACAAGTGACACATTTTAAATTAACATTTACAACTTGAATAGTTAAAATCAGCATTAATTGATTAAATGCACATTTGAATTTCAACCTTTTTTGCTTATTCATTATTGAACCTGTAAAAGTGCATCATTTGATTCATTGAATATTAAAATATTGTCAAAGTTAATTGCAATTTAAAATTAAACTTCAACCAGATGTACAAAGGATAACAAAAAAACATGATTACGAATCAAAAATTGGCCAAAATGTAAAATTTGCTTTATCAAGCGTAAAGCGAACAAGAAAAGGACTGAAAAAATTAAAACTTTGAATTAATGTTGGAAAGATATTAATATTTGGTTGACTTTGAGTAAAATATTGAACCATGTAAAGATAAAGATGAAGATAAAGAGGAGAAAGTTGAAGATGCGGATAAAGATATGGAGGGTTGTGATGAAAAACGAGAGATTTAGCTTTTTTAACACAATCTTTACACTTATTCATTATGTTTTTTGATTGCGATGAACCTAAATTTGGATTGTTACCAGACTTTAAACATGGTCCACTGAAAATTCCCACGATCAGAATCAATTTGCTTGAAGATAATTTTCATCATAAATGAACATTTCTCTAATTGTAATGATGTTAATGATTAACATTAATTTTCATTGGATAAATGTTGCCTCAGCAAAGACAATCATTTTGTCACCTTTTCCTTGTTTTCCTGTAAAGAGGCTGACAGTGAGTGTGATGTGATGCTGTTTACTTAACTGGCTTTGCACTAAATTTGAACAGTCAATTACCAAGTAAAGACAAGATGACAGAATGCAATAACTTTTAAGATTCCCGAGTTGGGATGAAAGATGCCGAGAAATGATGACTACAAGACTAATGATAATAATAATGGTAATAATAATGTTTACATGGATGTTGAAAGGAAGCAAAATTATGCCAAATTGGCTTTGATTGTTATTATTAATAATAAGATGGAAAAGTGAATCTTGGTAAATTCAAGATTCACTTTTATTTGTCACATTCACATGTAACTTGATTCCCTCTGTTTACCACTGTTAATCTGACTTACAGATAATCCTCTCTTCATCATCATCGGACCGTCTTTTGATCAAAGGCCAAGAGTGTTCAGGAAAGTTGATCTAAAAATATGAATCAAAACAGTAAATCCATAGCATTTTAATCCATACAAATTTGATACTTTTTTCGGTACTTTAATCGCCATGTTAATCCCATGTTAAGCTTGGTGTTTCATCTTGATCCATAATCTTGACAATCAATTATCGAAGCAAAATGAAGCCAATCGAAGCTATAAATGTTTACCTTTTCTTAACTCTATTAGTCTAACGAAACCAAGTTTTGATATGTTAATTAAAGCATATTAATTAGATTAGAGTAAATCAAGATAATTAACAAGTAAAGTTGTAAATGGTTGTTAGTAAACAGAGGAATTGAACAAAAAAGTCAACTTTATTAATGTAAAAGTTGAGAAAAGTGTTAATCAATCACTAATTAACCCTTTTTTGTTGTTCCGTTCCAAATTAAACTTAATCATTATCAATTTCAGATGTTTAAAGATAATTTTGATTGCATATAAAAAAGGTTTGACGAAGAGAAAAAAAATGTCCAAAAAAGCAAGATTAATTGTTGAATTGCTGTTAATGATAAGGTGAAGTAATTAATGGACTAAAAGAGAAGCAAAATTTTAATCAAAAACATGAAAACATTAATTGCCTTACCACAGTCAAGGTATTAAAGTGACACTAAAAGTGAAAATCAGAAAATGCTGATTACTTCGACTTTGATTGTGAGCCGAATTTGCATTTCATCAGAAGATTCTGTCGTTTAATCTTGGAATTTAAATTATCGCAAATTTTCATCGAAACGTTCAGATGAGCAAATGCTGTGAGAAGCAAAGTTGAATTAAAAGTGAACCAATAATTTGCAAGATTTGTTTTCATCTTTTAAATGCATTTCAACGAGGAAAATGAATAACTTTTGGAAATTTTTTTCTCAACTTTTCTTTTCTTTGTGGACATTCTGTTGATAATTGGATGATGATGAATATCATTAGACAATTGTGTTGATAAGCTCAACATGTTTGACATTATCGCAAAGCTTTTTGTCTACTTTTTTGTCTGCTGTTAGTTTGTCCCATCAACAACCATTAAAGTAATGAAAATTGGAAACTTTTTTCTTCCTTTTCGCTCTTATTTTCAACTGTCATCAAGATGAAGGATTATCTGGGTAACATTTTCAATTCTGAACCGCCTTCATTTCCAACATGATGACTGTGCTAATGATGCTGATCAAGATGCAAAGTTGGGTCAAGAAAAGTAAAATTTAAGAATTGCAAGAGAAGGAAAAAAAAGTATTCACTTTGCATGATTAATCATTGCCAATTAGAGGATTGTCGGAGTTGATTAGAGTTTGTTAATTTAAATGAATTGTCGAGTAAATCATGGAAAAAGTGAAAAAGGAATTTTCCTTTTTTTAAAGTTCCAAATGAATCAACAATGCTAACCAATTTGAAGATTAAATTTGTTTCATTGTTTGCTCATTCACTGGAGCAATTGACTTTAATCAAGTCGAGGCAATCTCGAAAGGTTACTTTTAAACCTTTTTTGGTTGATGTTGCTAGTCAAAGGAAACAAGGAAAGGTAAGGTTAATGAAATGAGCGATCATTCCAAGTGTAACAATCAAGTTGAAAGGTCAGTTGATTAACAATTGTCAAAGTGAAATGGTTGCCAAGTGAACATTTATCAAGTTGAAATATTTAAACATTTAATTGCTTGTCAACATTGAGACTTTGTTTGTCTCATTGTTTCAAATTTTTGCTGGTTTTTGGAATCACTTTTAACCTAAAAAGTTGATTATTTAAAGAAATGTCACAATTGAAATAATTGATTTATGATTGTCAATGTAACTGGTAAAGAGAGTGAAAATGGATGAAAAATGGTTAACATAAGGTTCAATTTATTGAACAATTTCAACAGAAATGGAAATAAATTTGATCAACTGAAAATGATTCTCGACATTCACTCTTCCCTGTTCATCATTATCAACCTGATTGTCATCCTTTTGTCCTTCCAAATCAACTTTTGTGACAAATTTGAGTTCATCAGTTTCCTGATGTTATCATCCTTTAAACTTCCTATTTCAGTTCCTATTGACCGAAATTCAATTTCAAAACATTTTGCTCTCTTCACGTTCACTTGTTTAACTTTGCAAAATCAACTTTCAAATGAACTTGCATTCAATCATTAAATACTTTGTTTTT